ATTTTCTTATTTTTTTATTTGAATTAACATTTTGCATATTTAAATTTATTTAGGAGCATTAAGTATGCAGTGTTAGTGGAAATTTTTTTTGGTTAACAGCTTACAGAACCTTATTAATTTTAACAAGAAGGACCAGTTTGGCTTTGTAGGATATCTGATTTATGGAACATTTTAGGATATCAATCAGCATTTTTTTGAGGTACGGAAAGCTAGAAGTAAATTGTCATAGTATCGCTGCTAAGAATCATTGGGGCTCCTGATTTAAGTAGCTAAGTTTTTTTTTTGAGACAGGGTCTCACTGTCACCCAGGCCAGAGTGCAGTGGTGAGATCATGGCTCACTACAGCCTCAATCTCCTGGGCTCAAGTGATCTTCTACTTGAGGTCTCCCAAATAGAGAGCTGCATGTTCTCACTTACAAGTAGAAGCTAAATAATGTGTATACATGGACATAGAGTGTAGAATAAGGCACTGGAGATTCAGAGGGTGGGACGGGAGGTGAGGGCTGAGAAATCACTTAATGGGTATGACTTATATTATTCAAGTGATGGTTACACTAAAAGCCCAGACTTCACGACTATGTAACAAAGGTGCACTGGTGCCACTTAAATTTATAACAACAATAAGATTTGAAAGTTTAGAGGAATGTGTATTTCTGGAAATAAGACTGATTTTCACTTGGAGGAAGATAATCACAAGGTTGTTAACCTTCTCAACAAAAAGAGAGCATCTTTCTATGTATGCATAAAGCAGTCAACTCAGGTCACTTAATCACGAAGCAACAATCTAACAAAAAAGACAATACCTGTCTTTGACAACTGAACTTATAAAAAAAAAATTATAATAAAAACATAAGTTAAAACGTTGTAGAGCACTAAACCAGAAGCCAGAAGACCAACGTTCTGGTCTTTTCTCTGCCATAACTAAATATGGGAATTTTACTGTGTTTCCATTTCTCCATCTGTAAAATTAAGGAACAGGAGAAAAGAGCACTCTAAAATTATTTCAGAGTTTTCTGAGCTTCTTCCTGACAAGCAAGAAGACTTGTGGTCTGGTTCTTGGACTTTCCTAGCAGCATGACCCCCAAATGCCAGTCTCCACTCCCGCCTCAAAAGAAGACACCAAGACCACCTCCTGTTCTGAGACGAGAGGAGACATCATCAACCTCTCTAGACTTGTTGAAGAAGAGAGAAAAAGAACAGGAAGCAGTTGAACATAGTGATAAAGTACAAAATGAAATAGACAGACTTAATGAACTAAGAGGAATTTTGAAAGCAGAACAGAAAAATAAACTCTGTCAACCATTTTCTTCATAAGAGGTCAGAACTGATCTCCAAAATCACAAATCTGGGGGTAACAACATTTGTCAACCATCCTCAAGTGTCTGCACTGCTTAGGGAGGAGGATGAAGAGGCACTACATTATCTGACCAGAGGTGAGGTGACAGAATTTGAAGATATTAAGTCAGGTTACAGAATAGACTTTCATTTTGATTAAATTCCTTCCTTTGAAAAGTTCTCTCCAAAGAATTTCATCTGAATGAGATCTTCAAAGTCCACTGAAATCATATGAAAATCTGGAAGGGATGTGATGAAACATTCAAGTCAAACACAGAATAAAGCCAGCAGGAAGAGGCAGCATGAGGCGCCAGAGAGCTTCTTTACTTGGTTTATTGACCATTCTGATGCAGGTGCTGATGAGTTAGGAGAGGTAATCAAAGATGACATCTGGCCCATCCCATTACAGTACTACTTGGTTCCAGATGTGGATGATGAAGAAGGAGGAGAAGATCATGATGATGATGAAGAGGAGAAAGGATTGGAAGATACCAATGAAGAGGGGATGAGGAAGAAAGTGAAGATGATGATGAAGGGGAGGAATGAGGAGGATGAAGGAGAGGTTGACTAACAGAACACTGATGGATTCAACCTTCCTTTTAAAAATTTTCTCCAGTCCCTGGGAACAAGTTGCAGTCTTTTTTCCCACTTGTTGCTCAGTTGCCCTGTTCCTGAGGTCTCTCTTCTCTACACCATGGTTCTCAACTTATTTGGGGGGTAAATACCTTGAGCAGGATATTATGGGAAAAGAGTCTCAAATCCTTTTGGTTCCCAATTCATTTTTATCCCTTCCTGTCTGAACAAAAACTATATGGAATCAACATCACCGAGCTCTGTGGGAAAAAAGAAAAACCTGCTCCCTTAGCTCTGCTGGAAGCTGGAGGGTGCTAGGCCCCTGTGTAGTAGCACACAGAATTCTAGCTCTTTTCCTCCTTTCTCTGTATATTGGACTCAGAGAGTACACTGTCTCTCTATGTGAATAAGAACAGTTAGCGTTAACCAATGCGTCTACTCTCTCGTTTAAAAAGGGGGAAACTTTTTTAAAATATAGGGTTAGAGAAGGTTAGCAAAGGGTGGGTTTGAGATGTTTGGGTGGGTTTAGCGGGCATTTTGACAACGTGGCATCTCTTTTGGTACGTTAAAAAATTGAGATGTCTGACAGACATGCCTGTAGTTTAAGGTTAACACTTTTTTTTTTTTTTTTTTTTTTTTTTTTTTTTTGACAGAGCATCGCTCTGTTGCCCAGGCTGGAGTGCCATGGTGGAATCTCAGCTCACTGCAACCTCTGCCTCTCAGGTTCAAGCAACTCTCCTGCCTCAGCCTCCCGAGGAGCTGGGATTACAGGCGCACGCCACCATGCCCAGCTAATTTTTGCATTTTTAGTAGAGATGGGGTTTCACCATGTTGGCCAGGCTGATCTTGAACTCCTGACCTCAAGATCCACCCACCTCAGCCTCCCAAAGTGTTGAGATTACAGGCATGAGCCACCACATCTGGCCTTAAGGTGACACTTAAAAAAAAATTGTCTCTTAATAATGACTTGAGCCTTGCCACTCAATGGGAGAATCAGCAAAACCTGTAGTATCTTATTTGGAATTGATATTCTCTTTTTTCCTTTAGTTCAGTCAAGAGTAGAAGGAATTGATATTCTCTATTGAATAATTTTCAACCTGTTTTTTTAAATTTTTGTTTTACTGGAAAGGAAAGATGATGCTCAGTTTTAAAAGTGTACAAGTTTCTTTGTATAAGTTGCTTTGTTATAATAAAACTGTGTACACAAAGGAAAAAACTTATTTCAGCTCAAATATCTTATGACTCCATGACCCAAAGTGAGGTATGTCAGATTATGTTTTCTTATTTTAAATATAAATTAAAAGTACATACGTTTGAGGTAAAGGTAGCATTATATAGTTTTTGACTAAAAGAGGTAGCTGTACATAAAGATAATAGCAATAATAAAAACCCATGAAAAGATGTAATGAGGATTAATAAAAATATACAATGCTTTGCCTAGATAAAGTACTTCTGTAATACTATTTTTTTAATTTAAAAAATTACCTTCTAAACCATTAACTTGAAATACTTAACAGTAAATTTTATTAAGTCCTATTTTAGGAAGCCTAGACAAGCAAACCAAATTAATAGAAATCGAGAGTAAAGAAAATTAGCAATGGGCTGGGCTCAGTGGCTCACGCCTGTAATCCCAGCACTTTGGGAGGCCCAGGCTCGGAGATCACTTAAGGCCAGGAGTTCAAGACTAGCCTGGAAAACATGGAGAAACTCTGTCTCCACTAAAAATACAAAAATTACCCAGGTGTGGTGGGGTGCACCTGTAATCCTAGCTACTCGGGAGGCTGAGGCAGGAGACTCGCTTGAACCTGGGAGGCGGATGTTAGAGTAAGCCAACATCGTACCACTGCACTCCAGCCTGGGTGACAGAGTCTCGTCTCCAAAAAATAATTAACAACACCCTTCTGGGCTCCACCTACTTAATGAGTAATACATACTAGTCTTGAAATTTATTTCACAATTCTTTTTGAGCATGTGTGTGTGGGTTTATTAGCCATTTCAACTTTTTTTCCCAGATGGAGTTTGGCTCTTGTTGTCCAGCCTGGAGTGCAATGGTGTGATCTCAGCTCACTGAAACCTCCACCTCCTGAATTCAAGCAATTCTTCTGCCTCAGCCTCCTGAGTAGCTGGGATTACAGGTGCCTGCTACCACGCCTGGCTAATTTTTTTGTATTTTTAGTAGAGACAGAGTTTTACCATGTTGGCCAGGTTTGGCTCAAACTCCTGACCTCAGGTGATCTGCCCACCTCAGCATCCCAAAGTACTGGGATTACAGGCATGAGCCACCGCACCCAGCCTTAACTTCTTTCTTAAACCCAACCGGATCCAGCAAAAATTTATTTAAGTTTCCTTAAATATGTCAATATGCTGGGCTTTCCCTTTAACCTTCATTTCCCATTTCTCTTCTGCCTCCAGTACCATTTATTTATCATTTATTTTTTTTTCTGAGACAGAGTCTCATTGTCGCCCAGGCTGGAATGCAGTGACACGATCTCGGCTCACCGCAACCTCCGCCTCCTGGGTTCAAGCGATTCTCCTGCCTCAGCCTCCTGAGTAGCTGGGATTACAGGCATGCACCACCAGGCCTGGCCAATTTTTGTATTTTTAGTAGAGATGGGGTTTCACCATGTTGGTCAGGCTGGTCTTGAACTCCTGATCTCATGATCCACCCACCTTGGCCTCCCAAAGTGCTGGGATTACAGGCGTGAGCCACGGCGCCCAGCCCTATTTATTTATTTTTTAGACGGTGTCTCATTCTGCCACCCAGGCTGGAGTGGTGTAACCTAGGCTCACGGAACCTCCGCTTCCCATGTTCAAGCAATTCTTGTTCCTTAGCCTCCCCAAGTAGCTGGGACCACAGGCACATGCCACCACGCCTGGCTAATTTTTGTATTTTCAGTGGACATGGGGTTATGCCACGCTGGCCAGGCTGGTCTCAAACTCCTGACTGCAAGTGATTTGCCTGTCCCCACAAAGTGCTGGAATTACAGTCGTGAACCACCACACCCGGCCACAACACCATTTATATTTTAAAGTACTTTGCAATGTCCACTTTGGTTTTCCCTTTTCTACATCTTTACCATGTCTGGTTCTCATTTTCTCTCTTACAAGTGATTTCATTTTTGACTCAAGGGACTTCATTCACCCAGTTAGATATTAAGAGTTCTGAACTTCTCAAATTTCAGATTTATTTCCTGTGTTGCACCGCCTTTCTAGACTTAGGAGGCGCAACATAGGAAATAAACACAAGACATAGCAGGTTTGTCAGCAAATTCAGACATATTATTCTGTCGGTTTAAATTTTCCAGGTTGACATTTTTATATTTATTTTATATTATTTTCATCACTATTAACTTGCTTGCTTAAAGTCTAAGGATTTTGCCTTTTAAATACTTTCTAGAACTTTGACATACATTGGAAAAACCAAGGAAGTTTCAAATTCAAAATGTCATCTAGTCAAAATGGAAAGGAAAATAGCACACAAAATATTTAATTTGTCAAAATTGTGCAACATAGCCTTTTTTGGAAGACCTAGGAAAAAAATCACTGTACGCTATAACTATAAAAGGTATTGGAGTTTCTTTGGGGAAGTTTATCATATTTCTTGAAATAGGCAAGTGATACTTTATCTGTACAAATCTGAATCCCTCCAGAGTTTTAACTATAATTCCTAAACTTATCATTTACAAATACAAATGTTCATTATGAATTCATGTTTACTTCTTACCTCCATTCCTCAAGGGGTAAAAGTCAAATCTAGGGGAGAAATACTACAAACTAAATTTGATAAAGCTCACTGTATCTAGTACAGTGTTGTATACTCTATGGCTATTTAAGATCATAACTAATCTCTCTGCTTTCACCCTTGCCCCCCACAGTTTATTCTCCACAGAGAAGCTAGACTGAACTCTATAAATCTAAACTCTCCAAGATTCCCATCCCACGCAGAATAAAATCCTATTTCCTTATTATGGTACACAAACCCTACATAAACCAGTCATCAGCAATCCCCAACACTACTCCCATACAACTCTTTTACCTTCTTTTTCCTCTTATATATTATTCCCTACTATTCTCCTTCAGGCTTCCTCTCCAGCCAGTCTAGCCTCTTCCACCATTCTGGAAGGATACTCACCTCTTCTGTCAATATAGTCTCCAGATTTTTGCCCTTGATGGTCCTCTTCCTGGAATGCTTTTTTTTTTTTGAGACAGAGTTTCGGTCTTGTTACCCAGGCTGGAGTGCAATGGCGCGATCTCGGCTCACCGCAACCTCCACCTCCTGGGTTCAGGCAATTCTCCTGCCTCAGCCTCCTGAGTCGCTGGGATTACAGGCACGTGCCACCATGCCCAGCTAATTTTTTGTAGTTTTAGTAGAGACAGGGTTTCACCATGTTGACCAGAATGGTCTCCATCTCTTGACCTCGAGATCCACGCACCTCGGCCTCCCACCTGGAATGCTTTTATCTCAAAAGCCACAAGTTTGACTCATTCAGATAGTAATTCTCTGCTCAAGTGTTTCCCCCACCACCACCACCAGGCTTTCTCCAACCATCTAATCTAAAACAGCATGTCCGCTGGGCGTGGTGACGCAGGCCTGTAATCCTAGCACTGTGGGAAGCCAAGGTGGATGGATCATCCGAACTCCTGAGGTCAGGAGTTTGAGACCAGCCTGGCCAATATGATGAAACCCCATCTCTACTAAAAATACATAAAAATTCGCAGGGCGTGGTGACACACACACTGTAATCCCAGTTACTCAGAAGGCTGAGGCAGTGGAGGTTGCAGTGAGCCGAGATCGCACCACTGCACTCCAGCCTGGACAACACAGGAAGACTCTGTCTCAAAATAAAAATAAAAGTAATACAGCACCTCTACGATCACCCTCTCCCTTTACCCAGCACTATCTTCCTCCCCACCATCATCACCACATTACATAGTAAATAAATATTTAGTTAGCACCTGTCTCCACCCACTATAATGTAATTTCCATAAAGGCCGTAATTCGTTCATTGCTGTATTTCCAGTTCCAAGAAATTTGTTCATTGCTGTATTTCCAGTTCCAAGTAACTGGTAGGTGCTTAATAACTGTTGAGTAGATGAAAATTTAAAATGTCTGCCTCTAGAATCCATGTTATCAACTTTAATTATTCATACACACCAAAGAAGTCCTTTAAATAATAAATGTTTAAAGTATATTTAAACTGGGAATATTGATTGCCTCTAGAGAAGAGGCTAAAGGGAGAGAAATACAAGGAGATTAAATGTATCTTAAATGTATTTTGAACTGCATTAATGAGTTAACTTTTCAAAATTAAATAAAATTTAACATGTTAATCTAATAGATTACAGCAATGAATTACATTAACTTTCCAGTTTAATTCTGCATTCTCAGGATGTGGAACGCTAATAAAACATGACAATCTTCATGTTGTTCTAGGGTGTTTTTTTTCTTTTTCTGCTTCTTGTTGTTTTGAAACAAAGTTTAGCTCTTGTTGCCCAGGCTGGAGTGCAATGGCATGATTTTGGCTCACTGCAACCCCTGCCTCCCAGCTTCAAGTGATTCTCCTGTCTCAGCTTCCCAACTAGCTGGGATTACAGGAATATGCCATCATAGCCAGCTAATTTTGTATTTTTAGTAGAGATGGGATTTCACCATGGCTTAGAGAAGCCAGGCTGGTCTTGAACTCCTGACCTCAGGTGATCCGCTCGCCTTGGCCTCCCGAGTGCTGGGATTACAGGCGTGAGTCACTGCACCCAGCCCTGTTCGAGGGTGTTTTAATAAGACTCTTCAGGAATTTCTCAGAGCACAAGAAGTTAAATGTTACTTCCTTAAATGTTCCCTACTCTTGTATCATATTACATTTTAATTAGCAATCACCTTGTCACTAGGAAGTCATCATCTAAATCCATTTGTTCATTCATAAAGGGTGACACAACCGCCAAACAGCAAGTAGAGTCTGAAGATAGGAAAAACAAAATCCCAAGGTGTTTTTGCCTATTCTCACCACTCAGCACAGTATTTCTGACCCAGGATGTGTGGGGTTATTTCCTCTACACACCAAGCAAGCAGTGCAAAAGCTGGGTGTCTTACAATTTAACTCAATTCTATCTACCCGGAGATAGTGTCAGATTCCACAAGTCGAGGGCTCAGGCCCACATGACTGTCTCAGACTTCAGATGCCATTTCTGATTGATTGCCAATAAATTCGGGTTTCAACAACCCCCTCCTTGGGTTTAAATTGCAAGAGTGACTCACAGAACTCAGGGAAACACTTTACATACGTTTACTCATTTATTATAAAGAATATTACAAAGGATACAGATGAACAGCCAAATTAAAAGATACACAGAGTAAGGTATTCAAGAAGAGGAGCCACAGCGGATGTGGTGGCTCACGCCTGTAATCCAAGCACTTTGGAGGCCAAGGTGGGCGGATCACCTGAGGTTGGGAGTTCAAGACCAGCCTGACCAACATGGTGAAACCCGGTCTTTTTTTAAAAAAAAAAGAAAGAAAGAAAAAGAAGCAGAGGAGCTGAGCAGAGTCCTTCAGGAACCTCCATGTGTTCAGCTATCCCAAAGCTCTCTGAACCCAGTACTTCTGGGTTTTGTGGAGGCTTCATTACACAGGCATAAGTGATTAAATCACTGGCCATTGGTGATCGGAACTTTCAGCCTCTCTCCTCTCCAGAGAGATGGTGGGGGCTGAAAGTCCCAACCTTCTAATCACGCCTCAGTCCTTCAGGTGACCAGCCCCCATCCTGAAGCTACCTAGGGGGTCCCCAGCCTCCAGTCATCTCATTAGCATACAGAAGGCACTCAAATCACTAAAGAGAGTCCTAGAATTTTAGGAGGGTTTTTTTTTTGGGGGGGGGGCCAGGAAACAGAATAAAAACCAAATATATATTTCACAATGTCACCAAGTTTCATTGTTATAAGAAACTCTGTCACCAAAGTTGCCATAACAAAAGAAAATTCCAGGATATGCTCCACTATATCCAGAATTTAAGGTCCTAGGCCTGGTAATGGAGTTGCAAGGAAAAAGTGTCGTGTTAAGTAGGAAAAAGCAGAAGCAGTGATCCAGTCATTTCCCACTTCCTCTTCTAACCACAGCTAGTCCCTATTTAGATAGGAAGCCACTCCTAGTTCTCTTGAAAACAGTGGTCCTCTCAACTGCCAAGAAGGCCACAGGAAGGGGGTCACTTTAAGAAAAGAAAACCCAGTTAGGCAAAAGCTGCATGAGACGAGGGTCTTGCATGCCATTTCTTGTTTTCATCATATAGACAGAACAGCCCTGCTGCAGAGATGGTCAACGGACCTGAAACCCGAAGAAGCTTCTGTAAGAAGTGTGGCAAGCATCAGCCTCACAAAGTGACACAATATAAGAAGGGCAAGGATGCCTTGTATGCCCAGTGAAAAAGGCACTATGATCGGAAGCAGAGTGGCTATGGTGGGCAGACAAAGCCAATTTTCCGGAAGAAGGCTAAGACCACAAAGAAGATTGTGCTAAGGCTGGAATGTGTTGATCCTAACTACAGACCCAAGAGGATGCTGGCCATTAAGAGATGCAGGCATTCTGAACTGGGAGGAGATAAGAAGAGAAAGGGCCAAGTGATCCGGTTCTAAACTTTGGGATATTTTTCTTTTAATATTGAAGAGACAATGTTGAAGCCACAGAAAAATTACCTGTAGAAAAATAGTGATATTCTTATGTTAAAAAAAAAAAAAAGAAAAGAAAAGAAAACACAGAATGTTAGAATGATAACAGTAATGAAATCCTTCATGGACCAATACTAGACTAATAGTCTTCCTAGTACTTTATATTCTTACATTACAAAGGATGAGGATTACAAACCAACAGGAAGAATAAGCACTGCTTTCTGCCAGCTGTCAGGAAATAGACTGCTGCACTTAATTTTCAAAATCAAATAATTTCATCTAATATGAAATTATTAGATGTTGTATGACAGTGTAAGAACCTTAACCTTTCTGTATGAAATCCCTCTTTTTTTCTTTTTTGAGATAGAGTTTCCCTCTTGCTGCCTGGGCTGGTATGCAAAGGCACCATTTCGGCTCACTGCAACCTCCACCTCCTGGGTTCAAGTAATTCTCTTGCCTCATTCTTCCAAGCAGCTAGGATTACAGGCATGGGCCACCACACCTGGCTAATTTTTTGTATTTTTAGTAGAGGCAGGGTTTCACCATATTGTCCGGGCTGGTCTCAAACTCCTGACCTCAGGTGATATCCACCTGCCTCGGCCTCCCAAAGTGCTAGAATTACAGGCATGAGCTATCACGCCCGGCCTCTGAAATCACTTTATATACACATATTCTCCTGTCATTTAAATAATCAACACTCGGCTAAGATTTTTTTACATCACTAAAGAGTTTTGAAAAAAAATTACGAAGAAACAGCCTGTGTCATGTTAAATGACAAATGGAACAATTACTCCCTCTATTGAAATGAGACAGAAAATTTGACAATCGTGGAAATTGTCATATAAAAATTAAGGTTGGACCTAAGCAAAAGCATTATAAATGGTTTTTCTTTTGCTTTTATATTATCTTTTTTTAAAAAGATACATTTAATTGCAAACAAAGTATAAAAGCAGAAGAGTAACTGATACTTTGTGACATTTCACCATTCCCCTACAGTCAAAATATAACAAAATACTTAAACCAATCATATTCCACTCCTTTGTTAGTCACTGCACAGAGCAAGGAAACTATACTCAGTATTATAGAATTGGTTATGAAAATCCACAGGAATACCTTGGCTCTTATTGTACCACAGGAAGATATAGCTGGCATCTTGAGCATGCTAGTCAATCTATCCAAATGCGCAACTAAAAGGCATTTGGATATTTATCCCAGCACTCTCTAGCTCTTTCCTATTTCATTTCATTAGGGAGACAGAGACGAACCAAAAAATATGATAAGAGAATGTCAAATGCAACCTGTAAAAGTATCATTCAGGCTCATATTACAACCAACTTTCAATAAATCCTAGACCACGTTTATTTTCACTGGACAAATAAATATCCTTATTCTTCTCCTACACTGCCTGAATTTCCATTTTCCAAATCATGTGGTCATAATGGCACACAACTTCACTCATTTGTTGTACTTGTAAGTAGCAGAAAAATCAAGTAAATTAACTAAAGTAGATTGAGTTAAATCTGACAATTCACTTAACCTTTAAGTACTTATGTGCCAGGCACAGAAGAATGAAATACATGACATGCAGAAAAATAACACATATCACATAGAAAAAAAATTTTTTTAACTAGGTTACGAAAAGTAAATTAAGAATAAATTTTGGTTAATTGAAGTATGTTCTGAAACATTAAGTCTGATAACTTCTACCTAATAAATACAAGAACCTGAATTTTCTTGAAATTTTGGTATTTTAAGTATAGGACTCAACTTTTCACATTTTTCTTTAAAGCATTAAGTCACACTGTATTGTGTCTATTTTCAATTACTTCTTAAATTACTGGAAAGAAATCAAGGTAACATTAAACCCTTAAAATATCTTTGATAGTAGAATGAATTATTTTCTGTGTTGTTATCTGTATCAAAGCCATATATTTCATATCTTTCTAAGGTAAACATTTGAACAGCATACATGG